AAGCCGTTTTTAACATATCGTTAGCAACATTATTAATTATACATGAATAATCAGTTGTTATTCATTAATTTACAGTTCTGGGAGCAAATTGTAAGATTCCGTCCTTTATTATTCAATCATATATAGCAAAACAAGATTTAATAGTGTATTAGTGTATTAATAAACAGCTTTATAGCTGAGCTCAAAAAATGTACTAATAATGCCTTAGCATGCAATACAGAAATGAACTTATTTTTTTTATTATTCTCTGATTTTCATGATTTTATATTGAATATTATAGTAATTTTATTTTAAATTTAAGTATATTTTATACATTATTATGATCCTTAATCTAAATGCAAAAATCAAAATTTAAAATTTTCTATTAGGTATACTACCAGAAGAAACGCTATATTCTATTCTATAGAATATAGATAATATAGAATACTCTAGGTATACGTATATTATATTTATAGCTAATGATGAAATTAATATATGTACATAGTTCACTTTTAGAAATAAATCTAATATTCAAAATATAATATATAAATGTCACAAAGTTCGAATCCTATTTATAGATATTATTGAAGATAAGTTTTTAGTTTTTAAATAATTTTGTAAAACGTAGAAAATAGTGCTTACTATATAATAGTATTCCACTATTCGAAAAACATTAGTTTTAAGAAATTTTTTGCCTTGGGGAAATTGCTCTTTACTACCTCAACCTATTAATAATCGCGGTGTATAAATTATAATTAATATATTTATCTCGCGACTAGCGACGAGTGTTAAGAGTTAAGACTAATAAAATCGTATTTGTTCAATTATTCTATCATTCAGCACGTAATTATTATTAATATATAATAATATCGTATATTCAATTCGGAGATAATATTGTTTATTATTCAAAATATTGATAGCGGCCGTAAACCGTATGTTATAATATTAATACTATAAAAGTATTAAAATTGTCACAGCGTACGTGTAAAAAAAATCTAATTTCATGGTTTGAATTTACACCGATACGGTCATTTGAAATAATTGAAATTATTGATAATAAACACGAATACGATAAGTATAACGCGTATATTGTATCTCAATATACGTACAACAACGGGTCCAACGATATATTTTCACAAAATACTTCGATTCTGGTCCTGTTCCCAGAATATAATAAAAAAAATATTGTACTATTTCTACTCCTATGTATAGTGGTCATTTTTACCTAATTTGGAGACATCGAGATTCGCCATATGAGTAGAGGCGACCATACTATTATTCACACAGCACGTCCGTGTCTGTCTCGCCGAGGGGACCGTCTTTTTAACACATAATAATACATAAATACAAGTCTCTGGTATTTTTGAGAAATAATACAAAGAAGAACCCATAGTTGTCAGTATAATAATATAGGTTAATCTTATTAAATAACTACCCAATGCTGTTACTACTATTGAACACTACATCCGGTTTCGTACAGACGTCAAAATGTAAAAGAAATAAAAATAGTTGAGTTTTAAACTCAGCAGTTGAATTTTTTTCGGTCAGATTTCGGTTTAGCATGTTTAATATATTTTCGATAGTATAAATAATTTTTTTGAAAGTATATTATAGGAATTTAATTTATTGTCAGTGAAGATAAATAGACGCCTGCAGATTTTATTTTATCCAAAATGCTGTCAGAACGCCCAAACATTAATTCAGCATATTGTGATAGCAGTCACCTGCTATGGTAGGCTCAGTATATATGATGCATAATAAAAAAATCGTAGTTGAAAGGAACGTGTACAATAGTGCTAATCCGACACATCGATCCGTCTTAGGGACCTTTTTTTTATTTTCTAGAACTTATGAACATTCTGGCGAATAATTTTGTCTTTGCTCTTATAATTCTAACCTCTAAGGTTAGGGTTCCGAATTTCCAATGACCAGTATGATTTAGTTAAAACTGTAATTGTATAGTTTCGTAAACGTTTAAGAAAAAATCTTACTCAAAATATATATAGACGTCATTGCAAACATAATATTTATATTTGGACAACAACAATAATTAACAAAAAAATAATACTGATCGGTTGTGGACCAGTTGTGAGTTGTGGTTTTTAACCGACTTGTGATACTGACAACCGAGGAAAGGGAAACGCTCGAAGAAGAGACTTAGTAGTATCTAATCATACTCAAGCAAATTTATCTATTATTTACTCATTGACCTTCATTGTCGAAGTTTATGAACGCCGCGACAATTTATTAGATCTGTCTTCCCCTGACGAATTAAAATGGTTTAATAATATTATTTATAGAGAACAAGTAACGGTTTGTACACTGTTTCGCCGAGTGCCAGAGTGTTAATATTACGCAATAGCCCAAAAATTCCGAAAGTACAAATAGACACTTATCTCAATTATGGCAATTATAACGACCACGATATGTGAACTCGCGATTAATGATGTCTGTCATATTAAATCTGTTGGTACCAAGTAATATCGTGATATCCACTTATATAAGTATAAGCGGAGTTAAACAGCTAATATTATTACTATTAATGTATAAAATTATGGCAGTGGGAAAAGTGAAAAATTTTTCCAAAAATAATGACGAGCTTTCAAACATACGAACTCGTACTAATAGTAGTATTATTATCAATTACAACGACGACGACAAATGCGATAAAAAAAGAACATGATAATACGTGTTACCGTGTTCCAAGACAAAATAATATGACTTATGTATATCGTGTTTATTTTTTATAATCAAAATGTGCGACGTGGTAACGACGACGACGACGACGAAGACGATAGAACGACGCACGTCGTAATACGTTTTTATGAATTGTTTTTCATCCTCAACCGCGACCGCAAAAAGAACGGTTTTTTTTTAACCCATGACTTGCATTGCGACCCTAATGAAAAAATAAAAAATAAAGCCCCGAATTTTCACCCTTCGTTTTTATTCCGTTCGCGTAATGAATTAGCGTTTTTTTCAATTACTCTCTGTCTGTTTTTCTGTGTATGTACTCGCGCTCACTTACACTCTGTCCTTCTCGTTTCCACCCCTAGAACCCAGTAAATAATAGAAATTTCTCTAACAATAATTTTACCCCGAGCAGTGTATAATGTATTTAAGGGTAGATATATGCTGCGGGGGATAAAATATACGAAAAAATAATCACAAAATTCGAGGGCCGTTGAATTTTTGAGGGACCAACGCCGGACTATGATATCGTATAATATAAGTTGTGAAAAGAAGAAAGATAAGGTGATGAAATTTCAAGAAAAACAATCGCTTGGCTTTTCCTAGTAAAAGCTCCCATATTATCACATTATTTCTAACTCTAAGCCCAAATCCAACGCTAAACAAGTGTTGACATGTATACCGAATACGCATAATATTAATGTTGCGCTTCGTACGATATTATGTTTCTATGTTGTGTGGCATACCCGTATACGAAGTATGAGGTATAACACAATATTAGGTAATTATACGGACGAAAGCCAATGCCATCGCTGCTGTAACCGGTCATGGACCGTTATTCGGCAGGGTCTATCTACGTAATGAAAAAAACATAATATTATATTATATTAAATTATGTATACTGTATTATTGCGTGTACACGTCAGCAAACTCTACAGTCTGCAGGGACCACCCATATTCAGAAGGAACATTCGTCAAAAGCGGACTGGGAATCGGGTTCAGCATGTCGCATGTGTACGCACTCGGTCGGTGGTGTAATAATGAATCGTCGCGGCAGTGGCGTGAGACTGCACGGATATTTTATGGAACATCATATTGTACATTATACAATGTATTATTATTAACACTATACACAGGTTAATATCAAATAAATAGAAATACATTAAATATTATTGCCGATCCACCAAAACAGCTAGAAATGAAACGACCTATTGATGTTAGGTCGCGGACGAATTTTGAACTCCACTTCTATACCGCAGCTTTAATTCTTCAGTTTAGTTTTTTATTCATAAAATTATAATATTATGTAAGGCTCGGATTCAGTGCAAAGTGCATTATTTTTTTGGGTGTTCTATAGGACAATGCATACAAAATACCTTAATTTGTTACACGTAACAAATATTTTAAAGACGAAATTTTTATTTGGCAACTTTCAGAATTTTCCGGTATTTTTATTAATTATTAGTACATATATTAATACATTGTTCAAGTATTTAGAGTCAATTAGAAAATTCAAAATATTATATCAAGAAATATTGCTTTTAAAATATTTTCTCTAATAGTTTTAAGTATTTTTCATTCCTACCTAATGTCAATCGTTCTATTTATGAATGCGATAACGTCTTTATCTATCTTCAGTGGTTATCGGATGTGGTGTCTTACCGAAACTCAAATAATTAACAATTGGTCAGTTGGTAATAAATCGCAATTGCTTTTATTTGCAGAATACTATTTATTTATTAAGCATACCTTAATCTAGTATTTAATTTTTATATTATTGTTAGTGATGTTAAGATAAATAAGTGTTACAAATTCTGAAAGTTAAATCGTTGTTTCCTTTTCGCTTAAATAGGTGAGTGCTTAAAAACAAAATTTCGGACATTCATTTTTCAAGGGCTTTATTTAATTAAAAAGTTATTTTTGGAGTATTTTTCAATAGTTTTTAAAGTATTTAAATCTGGCACCTAATATTTACCACTATTATCAAACGAGTAGTTTAATAGATATACTATGACTGGTATGAATCGATAAACTCAGTAGTCACGGCGGCGGCGACACAATTGTTTCTAATAATATACTCGTAATACTCTGTTTTGTAATCGCAATTACATGGCCCATGGCCGATATCGTTATAATACGTGTAGGTACAACATTGCTGAAATCATATTACACAAACTATATTATATTGTTTACACGACTGTATCACAAAAATTTTTAAAATTTTTCGAATATTTTCAGCTGAGTGCTTTGACAGTGATTCATATAGTCGTCCATTATCAATCGAAATTTCGTTTCACTGTATATCATACAATATCTCGTCGTCTACCGGGTCCACACACGTGATCATATTTACGGTGATTTACAACAATATATTTTGGCTGCTAAACACGCGCAACAGTCTGTACACAAACGCACTGTTTACAATGCAAATTATAATAATATTGACAATCGTCATAGGCGTCTAATTATAATATTACGTTATTGGATTAATAATATAATAACTTATTATTGTATCACAGGACGCGTTTTGCCGAGAATATAATATGCAAGTGTGTCGGCTGTGGTATACGGAAAAAAATCAGCATTGGACGGACGCCGGCGCAGGATTTATTATTATTAGATCGGAATCTGTGGTGGTTGATATCCCGCGGGATAGTACCCCTCTCCTTTGTAATCCTTGTTGTGTGTGGGGACGTGAAAAGCCGCAAAAGGACATATTCGTCCCACTCCTACCCTATATCCAGGACCAACTGTCCCAGCGGATCATATTTTCTAGAATTATTCGGGACTCATCGCGTACATTTCATATATGCTGCGGACCACAAGGGGCATTGCATTACATAGGAAAAGGTAATATTATTATCCTAGTCGGCTTGGTCAAATTCCGTCATATCGCGTGATAACTAATACGGAGTACAATCATACAAAATACAATACATAATACCTATGCAACGCGACAATACGTTTGGTAGTGATTTTCATTTTATAACAAAATAGCACTCGGTACATAATATTAGGATGTGAATGCGCAGTTAAAAAATATACACCTTCGTCTGCAGCCACCGTACCGTTAATTGGTTATTAATTATTATACTTTGTTATCTACCTACAGATGTCAATTTATTAGTAGTTGTGTTAGAAAAAATATGTATCAAATTATGACAAATTTTAAATTGTAGTGACGCTTGTAAACCATTACCGGTTTTAAACGGCCGACGACTAATATAGCATTGCCATTTATCTCGATAGCCTTGGAAATTAACTAATCTATTGAATTATATATTTATAATATAAAAATACATACTAAAAAATGTATTTAGGTATTGATACTATTTTAATACTAAAAATTATTTTTACAAGTGGGTTTAAACTTATTAAATAAAGTACCAATGCAAATTATTAATAGTAAATATTAAAGTTATGCATTCTATTTAAAATATTGTTAATTAATAGTGCCTCCAAAGTATATTTAATGTCAACTTCATAATATTAAGTATAAGATTATTACATCTATTTCATATCTGTATCAATTTAATGATTATATTAAATTATTATACCTATTATATTTATACTCTTTACTATTTTTCTTTATAGATGTTTATTTATTTTTTATTAGTACTTTATCATTACCGACAATAGTTCATATTTTGTGGTGGTATGGATCATTAAACAGTTTGTTATATCGTTTTTAGATAATAGATACTATATTGTCTATATTATTATTGTAATTATATTGTTGACCAATAAATATTATTATTATTATTATATGTCCGGATCAGTATACGTATGTCGTGTATTACGAAAAAAGGTCAAAAAATCAATATTTATTGGTAAAAAAAAAAAATTCAAATTATAGGAAAAAAATGTATTGAAGTATTTATTCTTATTAGATTGTAGATACTTTGTATTTTGTTATTTTTTTTATTTGATAAAACTGGTTACGTTGATGTGCTATGTGAAATGCCCATACTTATATGAACTATACATCCATAATACTTATCTAACATTATTTATCTTAAGTTCATAACCTAAATTCAGGGTTTACAACCCTTAGACATCCAACTATTAAAAAAAAATGAAAATGGAAATTTCTGTGGACGAAACATAATTGGATTAAGATGTTGTAGGACAGGGATTTTAAAATGTATGGCTCGTCAACATTTTCGAAACGGTTAGCCAAAATATTTAATATTTTGAAAATAGAATATGATTTTCATTGTTTTTAATTTATTAATTCATTACCAAAAAATTAAAAAAAAAAAATTGGGCCACAAATCACAATGCCAAAGTGTACTAAAATTTGACCCATCGTGATAAAACGATTGGAAAATCCTGGTGTAAGAAAATTGAGTAGCAGAAAGAAAGTCAAGACAAACTCGTCCCGTAAAAAAACATTTACAAAATTTATGTTTAAAAATATAAGTGGCCAAAATCGGTGTTAGGTTTTATAAAATTTCTTAGTCATAATTTAAGAAAAAATAATGTGAATGAATTGATTGAATTTTAATTTTATAAGCTGTTGACTGTGTATAAAATATCATGTATATATATATCTATCTATTACATAAAGTTATAAAGTATATTAATACTTTTTACTATGTGCATTATAAATATTTGAATGTTTCTTATTTTATAGGCTATTTACTGTATTTTATTAATTCAGTGACGAACTAGTCTGGAAGAGAGAGAGGCCATTGTCTCCCGGGTCCTCAATCACATCATTTTAATACAAATTATATATAATAGTAAAAATTATTAATTTGCTTGTAAGATTTTAAGAATAATAATTTAGAATACAAAAATTGTTTAATAATGTTGAAATTCATTTTTAAATTCGAAAAATTCCATAAATTTAATATTATGGACTAAGTATTATACTGTTACCGTTAAGCAACGCGCTTGTAATGCTTGTTAAATAAATTATATATTTATTAATTAGTATAATTTTATATTTTTATGAAACTCGTTTGGGTTGTTCGATGTAATACTTCAACTTACGTACATAAAATTTAGTATAGGTATTTACACTTTACAGAATCTACTATTCTAAAATTATTCACTTAATGTTTAAACAAAATGTATATGATTTGGTATACTATACTGTATACAGTATGTCAATATTTAAAGTAGATCAAAGACAGATCCAGAGCGAAAATCTCTGTGGAAGGCATTGATTTAAATGTACGCCACACAACTATATATTCTGTACAATTTTAAATATTTAAATATCAAATCTATCAATTTTGCTTATTATTAAATTATCATTTAGAGATTAAATAATATAATATGTATTATACAATAAAAATTAAAAATAAAAACATCATGATTTTAAATTTTTCTTATTTTTATATTACCTATATATTTATTATTTTTTTTTAAATATTTATGATTTAAGTGCAATTAAATCATAAATATTGATTTAATTATTTCTACAAGTAGCTTTAAAATTGATTTAGTTATTTATGTTTGTAGTAATATTATTAAATTTAGTATTTTTTTTTCATGTGAAATTATGTATGTGTGTGGTGTGATTTCTGTGGGAGAGGACTTGATCTTTTGGATCCGGTTTTGCATACAATTTGCTTTAAACAAATCGTGCCGCAATAGCCACTATGCGTAGATTATAACGTGTAGTGTAGCCTAGTTTTTTTATTTTGCCAACTTTTGTTATCCACACTACTACAAAACTATTATAACGGCCATCGATATATTTGTATAATAATAAAATATAATAAGGAAATTTATTTTATAATACCCCAGCAGACAGACGGAAACACGATGGAATCGTGTTTCCGTCAATGGTTCGATAAATTATGTTTACGCAACGTAAACCTGATCAATGTTTCGTAAACTTGATTCGCACAAGTTATTTTGACTCTTTCCGTTTTTGCAATAAACGCACAGTCACCGACAGACGCTTTCCATTCATACAGATATACTCATAAGTCATAAGAAATAATATATACTACGACGGCAACACTACACACAAATCGCGTATTATCTTATTGTTATTATTATTATTGTTTTAGAGACATGTACATACATTCACAATACAAAATATGTAAATATTAATAAAAATAAACAGTGACGAAATCGAATAATTTCTAGGCTACAATTTAGCACCTATATATTATAGAAATAGATAATATAGTACCGTCCAGTTTCGTGCGTGGGAAAACATTTGTTTTTCCCAGAAGAACGCTGACAGTAGTACGACTCCAATTTCAATTTTCAACTCGATGTAATCAAAATTGTTATTGCCATTCCGAGATATTTTGTAATATAAAATTTTTAAATTTTTGTCATAGACGTTATTCTAAAAAAACCTAGTCTTTCTCATATATAGCTCACAGCACACACACTACTACGTTATCCTACCATACGCGATTAATTTTTCTATATAATATTCCAAGTGTACAATTTCATGAATACAATACTGTCAGCGCATCGTCTGCAAAAATTTATTTTTTGACATTCCCTTCTACTTGACCCTTTCTATTTATCCACCGTGTGCTATCTACACTATACGAGGGTATTTTTTACGTAGTATGTATAAAACACTAGTTTAAAAACAATAGTTTCAGACAATATACAATATACATGGTAACTGCATGGTACCTAAAGCAATGGGATTGGTGTCCCGTTTTGTTAGACTATATAGATTAGTGTCGCATAATTAGCAGACCACAAAAAATAGAAAACTGAATCGTAAACATACGTGTTTTACTTAATTACATCATTTAAAATTTTTTATTTATTAATAATTAATAATGACATTATTGACATTAAATGTATGATATATTACTCTTCGTTTATCAAATTCGGATATAGATATTGTTATTTTAAAATAATAACTTGCGCTTAAAATGGTTAACGCCTTTGAAAATTTAACACTATTGTGTAACGTTTTTAATAATAATTATAAAAATAATATTCCAATAAAATTGCAATATACTTTTGTTACCAATAATCAATTAACCATTTTGTATATTTAGTTTTGGATACAGAAATGAAAAAATGCAGCTATTATGATAACAACTTTTTTTTTATAACTTATTTATTTTATTATTTAAATTTGATTTTTCGGAACAAAAATCGATTCGTATATAATCAATTTTAACTATGTGATACGATAATTGTTCAGCCACATAGTCATGGCGCGAGAAAAATTAATAGACAATGATATAATAATAATAAAATTTTCTCGCAAAATATTATGGAAAATTTGTCTCATTTCGAGTGATTATGTTGCTGTGATGATGAGGGGAGGAGGTAAGAGGAATTCATCTTAGATCCCCGTTAAATACGCAGCTGCTCGGTTCAATATACGCGGTAGGTACTAGGTACTCAACAATATTACCTACCTATATAAGTATACATTATGCCATTATATACGACCCATCGCGCCATCGATGTGTGGTATACGATGGAGGGGGTTGGGTAAGGAGTTCCTAAACAATATAAAATTTCTATTTTTTCAGTCCGGCCGGAAAAAAATCGGTCGAAAAGATGACTTAAATACATAGTAGCCAGCACTAACCGACCGGCGAGAGACATGTTCTGATAAGCATCATCTGATCTTCGAACAAAACTTTGTCGGCTCTTTGCTCGTCGGCATAGATCGACGGCGACAGATAAAAACACACACACACACACACACACACATACAGACATATATATACGGGCGCGCGCAGCATACTGTTCGACTGGTCTTCTCCCAACCTATGTATATTGTATATTTATATATGTATTTATTTATGTGTTTAATAAGTATATACACACTAGCAAGTATATCCAAAATCTTCAAAATATAAGTATAATATAATAATTTGTTTAGATATAAACGAGCGAGAGGTACCATACTCGTCATTTGCCAGTCGCCACCGAACACCAAAGTCATATTATTATTATTATTATTATTATTATTATTATTATTATTATTATCATTATACATTCATCGACTCTATAATATAATTATTATAGCACCTATACCTCTTAATTCCTATACTTATATTAAACACTATACTTTAGTTTTATTATGTGCTGCGCTGGACGAAAGACGCATACGTCAGTCATCGAGTGACCGTCACAAATCGCTTTGGGTTTAGGCGTCACTGCGTCAAGCCATTATCGCGAACAATACTATAATACATTATGCATTCTCGTCTAGTTATCATTTCATCGTAAAGTTTTATTGATTTCGCCGTTTTAATATAAATTCTTCTGGACATCTGAATAATACGTTGATTCCGCCACGATTTGCATAACCGAATAATATAACTTAAATATCTATTATCTTTTTTTACTTAAATGATTGTCAAACATTGTAGTCCACAAAATTCAAGAATATAATTGATAAGATTTGTACTTCTATTTCCAATAGTACCATTGTATGCATCTAATTAATCTTTTTTGATAAAACATATGTATATTTATATTTCATATTATACTTAAACAGACTGCAATATATATCCGACGCGGTACGTAATTTTCCCTAGAATAAATTCATATATATGCGTATCACTAATAAAGTATTTAATAATAGAATTATAATGAACCGATGGAATAAATAAATATATATCAAAAATTGGCGCAATCGATAAGTTTCTTGCAAGTAAAAAGAATATTTCGGCGAAATCGAAAAACACTTCTCATCGCTAATATATGTTTTTTTAGAAAATTTGGATCTCTAAATTTTAGATCTATGACTTATATATATATATATACACTGTATCTTATATATCATATTTATAAAAATGAAGTCTTTGTGCGTGTGTAGAATTTTATTATAATTTTTTTCCTCGGATCGGAGCCCCCGTGGACTACGCAAATCGATTCCATTCTCGGAAATTTCGTACGTGCTTTGAAATCCCCTCCGTTCGTCCCTTTATATAACAAAAATAATGCACTTTTTTCTCACTGTCGCCACCGCGGCCCCCGTTGAATTCCACAGACACTTTTATCTTTATTATAGACTTTTATTTTATTAGTATTTGTACCCATAAAGCGTATCTTCCATAGTATTGTGTAAATACTCAAACTGAAGTAGACAAGGGTATAAGGCTCAAATTAAATATTCTTCGTCAACGCGCACATACCCGACAGAAACGTTTCACGGTGCATACTTATATTACACGAAATTAAATGTGATAATAACATTATGACGTGACACCGAAAAAAACTAAGTGCAATATTTTGCATCCTTCCTCGCAGTCAATATATACATATAGGATATCTACCTATAGAATTAAAAATTCAGTACACGTATATTGAAAATTATGGTGAAATAAGCCACGGCTGTAGAAAAAAAGCTTCGCCCCTCACCCACCCATAAAGAAAAAAATTATGCACGATAAACAATGCAAAATGCAGATTGCAGCTTTATTTGTTTAACATAATAAGGAATATAAGTAAGCCATAATATTGGTAAAGAATACTATTAAAGTATTTTTAATTAAAACACATTTTTGTGTAATTATCTTTTTTATTATATTATTTAACTAATATTAATATTTACCTACATAATAATGTTAATATTATGCCTTTATGAATATTGAACTACTATACTTATATTAAATAATATTATAGTATACCTAACTTATTTATTTAAGATATTAAAATGTTTTTATTTTTATGCTTTTTCCTTAATTACTTACAAACTTCCAGGGTGCACCATATGTTAAAATATAAAATAGCCAGATCTTTATTACACACGCTAC